ATGCTTGAATTGCAAAACTGCCAAAGTTTACCTATGATCGATGACCAATTGATTAATCCGAACCCTTGAATCAGAATTCGGTAAGACTGATTTCTCTTGTTTGATATTGCTATTGCTTTCTTGTTCTTTTAGAAATTTTATTTATTTAATTTTYCCACTCTATTATATTGCGCATTCGGCCAAGAAATTATTCCCTAGTTCCCTGTGGGATTCGATCTAGTACCACTATTACTACAAAAATTATATTGTGGGACTAGCATTAATTTTGAGGGCTTCGACAACCCATCATGATCCCCCAAATCAAAGGTTAGAAAGGGCAACAAGGTTAAGCCTCCTCCTCATTCTGATGCAAACCACCCTTTGATCTTATTGGTCAATATGAGGAAACAGTCACATGATTTTTTCAACGTGGCAGAAATAGATGGGTTCATCTAGATAAGAAGCCTAATTGAACCAATTAAGGCTGCAATATGAGGAAATAGTCAAATAATAATTGATGATGAATAATTTGGCCCTCTAGTGACATTATGACATGTGATTGTACAAAATCGCCAAATGGCAACTCAACGTCATGTAAGCAGACTCTAAGAGCACAACAAACACCTTGCATCTGTCGTGGACTCCTTGGCCCCACCTCGATAGGGTGAACTATAGATAGATCGGATGATGTCATGTCGTCGTAAGAGGGACCTGCCTCCACCGACCTAGTAAAGATTTAGCTACCGGCCTGTGTGACGCAACGGGCGACCTCCTCCTCGAATGAGCTATCACCTCCAACTTCCCTGGGACCATGATGCCACATTGACGGATCTAACTACCACCCCACCCGCTTCAGGCCCGAATCACCCCTAACTTACACAGAGTCCATCTCTAAGCGTGAAACCACCTCCAAATTAAACAAGTCGGAGATCTCGGACGCACTTCGTGGAACTCACGAGTTGCAGCGGTTAGTCTACTAGCAACCCAAGCACTTTGACACTGTTTTTTCCAACTCGACCAAGCAAATTCATCTGCCCGACATCTAATCCGTCTACTAGCAAGGAGCGTTAGATCACCATCATCAATAACAATATGAAAGATTGGAACCCATCACTCTTCTGTGTGATGGTTTCCAAATGATTAATAGGGCTGCAAATTGATTGGATCGAATTCTATAACATCATAAGCTATGTATGTCATGATGTGAAAAGCAGCATATCCTGGTATAACTTAAATTTGCCGTTCTAATACTACATGATATTAATACTTTGAATATTGGATAACAATTATGATTTTCTTTACTTTCTGTTTTTCGTTGTCATTAGAAAATGACTAAAACACATTCATATCTCAGCCATGATGTTATAATGTTGATGGCTTGATGCAAGATGGCAAGAACTGAAGGCAATGGGTCAATTAACAGTATTGGCTAGAAATGTTCAAAGAAACAGGCGGTGTCATGGTTTAAGCAGTGTTTGCCAACGTGTACATGGTTTTGTTTTCGAAAAAAATAACAAGCACATTTTGCCAGTCTTTTTCAGTCACCTTTATGGATGGCTCAAGAGAGAGTTGACAAGGTTAGATCCTTTATGAAACTTCATCTAATTTTCTGTACATGATACACTGCTCGAATTCTTTCCTTTCATTACGACAGAATGAAAGAGCTCAACCCGAAGCAGGAAAACAAAGAAAAAAAAAAGGATTCACAGCCCCTCGGTGAGTGAATGCCCAAATACATTTACTTGATTTTAGGAAACGCGAAAAAAAAAAAAAAGGAAAAGACTTTCTTATTATCGCCCGTCTTACAAAACATGAACGGGAATACAAGAAAAAAAAAAAAAAAGGAGAAAAAGGCATTTTATAACACTCTTTACAATTACATCACCAAGACCTCTTAATAGACATGAATGTCTACATCGAGTCCCCCCATCTGGTCTGCCCCCACAGAATAGCTGCTCTCCCTGCCAAGCTTCTCCCCCGATATCTTCTGACGGGCATGGCACCGCAGCCATAGACAGGAAAGCCTAGCCAGAGCTGCCTGACTAGCAAACTGAACCCTGTACACCAGGCTCAATTCTGCCCATATCTCATTGCCCACAACATTCGATCCATTGCTCTCATCATACCCATCAAGATCTGCTTTTGTTACCACCACCACAGATCCATCATCAAATGCCATTATGTCCCGGGGATGAGTGGAAGTTTTCACAATTGGACTACGCAACCAGAAGCTGGATACTGCAGTCCTTTTCACTTTTTGATGGTAGTATTCTTGAACAGCCTGCATTTTCATTATCTCAAATAAGAGCGGACTAAGACAAATTTTCTAGTATGGAATAATTGATTATTCAATTTCCATGACAGAAAAGTATGGTACCTGAAAAACTTTAACCAATCAGAAACCTGAATGAAATTGAATGGAATAACAGTTGATTGGTTATCAGTTTTCATGTACTGTGCCTTTTCAGTACGACTTTCTTCAAATATCCAGCATAGTTTTCAAGGTGCCAAGTGAAGGTGACAAGGGGGGCATAAAAGACCTAAATCCTAGGTTAGTTCCCTGGGTTCCAACAACAACCAGCAATCATCTTTCACTGGTAATTATCACTAATCTTCATAAAAAGTATAAACTGAATCTTTTTTTATGAATAAAAGTATAAACTGAATATTAAAACATAAAAAATCAACATATTAGAAGAAAAAGAAGAAAAGAAGTTTCAGATGTCTGTTTTTTGTCTTAGGAAAAGAAGAAAATAAATGATTGAAGAAGAAGAAGAAGTTTTGATTGGACAAAATTTCAAGTCATTCCCTGCTTATCAGTTCACACTGGACATTTTTAAGGGTACAAGACAGATACACCATCATGTGTGTTCATTGATCCTTAACAAAAAAGAACATGACAAAAAGAAATTAATATATAAACCATCAAAACAAATAATTTAGTGTTATAATTCAAAAAATAAATATAAAAATATTTTATAGCACAATATACAAAATAGCTAAGCACTCAAGCAAGGCAACCCTCCATGGGCCCCTTGACAACTATAATTTCCAGAATATTCAATTTCATATAGAAGACTGATAAGAAATAAAGCTATAACTAATGAAAATTAAATGTCAATACCTGCCACTGGGAAGATGCTAAAAGCACCCTTTGCCTAATTGATCTTACATACTCGTATGCAGTATCAGGACTCATTTGTTTGTGTTCAACCTGTGTAATAAATAAAGAAGATGAACAACTTATGAAAAAAAAATCAGCTAAGCAATTGTGTAGATTATCCAGTATAGCACTCACCAAATAACAGAGAACAATGGTTGTACTTCGTCCCCGACCAGCTTTACAGTGAACATACGTTGTTTTCCCAGAAGATGCATTCTCTTCACGAGGACAGGAAAGAAATCAAATTACTACAACAGGTGGAAGAGAGAGCACTTCATTCCTTATTCAAAAAAAAAAAATAGTGCAAAAAGTAAATAAATAAACCACATTAGAAAGAGAAAATATATAATATCATATAAAAAATAAAGACAGGGACAAAAAGGTAGGTGCATAGTTGTCAAGGCGACACCTAGGCACCCTTGGAGGCTCGCCTCGCCTAATTGCCAAGCAGTTTTGAATAGTGTGTATACTTTTGTATTCTTAATTTTTTGAGGTTATAATTATAAAATAGACATTATTAAACTCAAATATTCATTTTGTGTGTTTATAAATTAATTTTTTTATTATTTTCTTAGGGGCCGTTTGGCAAGTCTTTTTTGAAAGATCTTCTGGAAGCTCTAACAGTCAAAAGACGATTTGAGTTTTTGCATCAAGATCTTAGCAGCTTGAAGACCGTTTGGTTAAGGCGTGTCTTTCTACACGAAGACGAGTTGAAAAAAGGCGAAAAGCTCCATTTGGAGCTTCCCGAAAATAGCCCAAAATGGGCTTCCCACATCTTTTCAGGGCTGCGGCTTTCAGCAGCTAGATCTTTTCCCAACCAAACAGGAAAAGACCAAATTGCGGGCTGCCGGGCTTCTTCTTCTTCCACCTTTTCTTTTATTCTTTTCCTATAACAAAAATAATAAGGATTCAGCCCCTATATTCTTAATTTTCCTTTTCTTTCTGTTTTTCTTTTCATGAATATGTTGGAATATGTTGATTTTCTATACCTTAATATGAAGTTTATACTTATGAAAATTGTAGATAATTATTAAGGAAATATGTTTATGGAACCTAGGGAACTACCCTAGGATATATGTTTTTTACTTAAAAGAATCCATCACCTAGGCAACTAGATGACAAGGCGCCTTGAAAAGTATGAGTAGCTGAATTCATCCCCAAGCTGCAAGTTACATCTCATACCTTAAAAGAACATATTTCTTGGAATGCAGGAAGAAAATTAAATATTTCTTGTAGCATTTTAACACAAAAAAAAAAATCATCAGGCTAGCATCAAAATAACAATATGAAACATATATTTTGCCATGTGTGACTGCAACAGAACCCCATCCTGGTGCAAGTGCTTTGCATAGTTGTTAAGGCACCTAGGCGAACTTAGGCAACAATGGGGTGCCTAGGTGACTAGGCACCAGCCTAGGCAATACGAATTTGTAAAAAGTTAAGAGTGAATATACTCTGACTATACAATTCAGAGTATTAAGTTTTTCCTGGTTCTCTAGTTTTATATACAATTCAGAGTGAATATTAATTGGAAAATAAACAATGTTCTTATTAATAACATTAAATTTCCTTTTAAAACATGGCAAATGAACATATCTAGGATGACAGCATTTTAATTGTATTACTTTAAGTACTTACAAAAATGATACTAATATTATTATTTAATAGAGCAATTCAATACCAAATTAACAACTAAAGAAGGTTATAACTTTATATGATTAAATTTAAGAAAGAGAATATGTAAAAGAGAAAAAGAACAAGAGTGGAGCTGTGGTTCTGTTTAATGTAAGAGAGAGAGAGAGAGAGAGAGGCAGAGTGAGTAGAAAATACAAAGAAAAAAAAAGCTTCATTATATTTCTATTCCCTTTTCCTTTTCTCCTCTCAACCCTTTGGATCTTTTAAATTTCAATAGTAAAATTCTAAAGAAAAGTATAAATGATATGCATGGTATATAATAGAATTAGTAAAATACATATTGGTAATATGTAATAATATGAAGGGCCGTTTACTTAGACACCCCCTATAGCTTGCAATAACTTCACTTATTCAACCTTCCATAGGGAACCTTCTGTATTTCCATTTAAGAATGGCCACTTGACCACTTATTCTCTTACAGTGAGAGGAAAATGTGAAAGGGCATGGACCTAAGGTTTTATTCCAAAATTACCCCTAAAAAGTTCTCATATCACATGTAGCCCACCCCTTCTCCAATGTGGGGAGAGGGTTTATTTGTTTTCTGAAGGTTGATAAGAGAATTATTAGAGCCATTTTTTGGAATAAAAACCTTGGAGCAATGCCCCTTCATATTTTTGGCATGCCTTAAGGGGTCATGTGACCACTCCCAGATGGAAATACATATGTTTCTTGATGGAAGGTCAATTAAGTAAAGCATATGCAAACCATAGGGAGTGTTTTAGTAATACTCAAAATAGAAGGTAGCTTTTATTAAATACATGAAACTAGTGTCTACATAAATGACCCTGATATGAATGCTATATTGTAATAAGGTGCCCACCTTGTCATTTTAGTGACCTAGGTGAGACTAGTTGGTATAAACAGGGCGTTTAGGCGAGCCACCAATCCAAAGGTGTCCAGTTGCCTAGTTGACGATGCCTAGGCAGGCCTTGACAACTAATGCTTTGCATGACACTTGATTATAGACTGTTTAAAAGCTATAAAATCAAGAAAGAAGATGATTTCTCTTCCTTAAGGAATGTTTAGCCTCTCAATATCTCATACTGTATTCTATAGTACTTGGAACAAAGATTGGTCCAATTCTACCCTAAGAGAAGAAAAATGACAATTGTAGGATCTATCGTTAAAGAAAATTTGGTGGCTATACAATCAAAACTACAGTTAATTTGGTATCATTTGTGGTCTATTTGGATGATAGAAAATTCTTTGAATTTCAATTGGTCTGAAAATACTTTAGAAGCAATACTTTCAGCAGGGCACAATCATGAGCATGGAGGGGGGTAGGCCCATAAATTGGTCTGGGCTTCTAGGGCCCTCATAACTTACTACATCCCATGGTTCAAGGATCATGATCCACAATTAGATTAATCCTAGCTGCCATGACATGGATCATACCAAACTCATCATAATCACACGACTATAATCTGGTTTAACCATTAAAATGACAAAATGACCAGACATGCATTTTATGATGCTTCAGGACAGAGAGGCAAATTGAAAAGACACTTACTATGTATAAAGTCTACAGCTTTGCATATGTCTCCAAATGATGGAGCAAATAAGTAATCTCTTGTGGGAATCACCAAATGTTCAATACCATGTGCCTACATAAATAGCAGATTATAACCAAATACACAAATTAAATTTATGAACAATGCAAAAAGGGAGAAAAGAATACAAATTTAGGCTAAGATTCCTCAGCAATAACCACTACTGAGCTCAGCATCCTACTACTCAGTCTAGTAAAACATCATCCTACAAATGCTAACCAAATAAGTTTGGAAGATAGTAGATTCAGTCAAAATGAAGCTAAAGTATTTTTTCTTTTTTTGATCAGCAAAGAAAATGAAGCTAAAATCTTAGACATAATAGTTCAAAATAAACAAAAAAGGTTAACTGGTTAACTGAAAAATGGATGACGATTCAGTTGGCAAATGCTGAATAAGTAATCTCTACATGAGTTAGGACCATAATGATACACATTTCCAAATTCACTGAAACTCCAAAAATTAATTTTGAAACTTCAAATTCTCATAAAAGTAAAAACTTTAGATTGTATGTCGTGTGCACTGACAATAAATGAAGTTTTTGTTTGAGACTCCATTTGTTTCATTGTTTTTTGCTTGAAACCTTTCAACCATGTTTTCGATCCTTTTACATCACAAACTAAACTTTCTGCCATTTTAGCATCTAAACAAGTGCAACCTTAGGGAAAAGAAATAAATGGTAATATTCATTTAAATATTAAGTCTACATCTTTTCAGAAAAAAAAATGCAAGTACCAAACTACAAATAAAGTCTAAAAAACTAACGGTCACAAATACTTACATGATATAAAGAAGTGGGAACCAAAGTCTCATATGGCTCATTTAGTGTTATCACTCCACGAACACCAAGTTGTTTCAAGTGTGGAACATCAGTAGGAAATGGAACAGCACCTAACAATACAAACTGATGACAGACGTATTAATAACCTATTTAGAAAATACATAGTCCTACAAAATCAAAAATCTTTCTTGTGCACAGAACACATGATTCATAAATCCAGCATTTGCTATGAGATATCAATGAATGTCACATAATTCAGTCACAATTACGATGTCTGAACTGCATACAAGTCAAGATATTTACAATCACATTGAATATCTGGAAAATTAGGATGAAGCACCATCTACTCAAGGTGTACTGGCTGGATGTGTCACACTAAGCAGAGTCTACAGAACTGCTGCATTCTTAATTGGTAGATGGATTTAAGAGGGCATGACATCATATACAATTGCAATTATTTTTCTTCTTAGTTTCATCATTTCATTATTGGTAACAAGCTTGAGAAAAATAAGAAGTTTAAAACAAAATGACAACACCCACCTGTTAATCCACAAGTAACTTCATCCTTCCAAAATGGTCCATGTCCATTATGAATATATTCTTTTCCCACATATACCAATAAAAAACGGCCATGTACAAATCACAGATATTTGCCCTTAGACAATTAAGGCATGCTATCACCAATAGGAGTTTTGATAGCTATACCGCTTTGTGGCTTATCCTCAACCCCCAACGCCCAAAAAAAAAAGAAGAAAAAGGAATGAAACACAAACAACCACACCTAAAAGAAAACACATCATGTAACTATTAATAAGATCCTTGATATGAGCCAGATAAGAATTGCATTTTCCATCAGAAAAAAAAGGCATAAATTGGTTTAATCAAGTTTTTCACCATATTAATAAGCAAAAAACGTTCAGTCTCATAACTTCTCAATCATCGTTGCAAGGTGCCAACCAGCTGGTTGGTAAGGACCGTAAGGTCTCCTGCTGGTCGTAGCGGAGACTTGGGATCGAATCCCTCCTGCACCGGGGTAGGGGGGTTATGGAACCAGGAGGGATCGTTGCAAGGTGCCAACCAGGAAGGATCGAATCCCTCCTGCACATGCAAGAAAGAAACCAACTGAAACAATAAGATGGATGAGAGAATACATAGATGTAAAATGTACCTCGTCGACTCTATCCCACCATCGAAACTCGGACTGAATCTTATTTCGGACAACATTATACAGAAGAGTTGGGTAGAAAAGAATACGAGCCCCGGCTCCAATCAGAGCCCTTTTTGCACTTGATACAGAAATTCCGTTACGGCAAACATCAGAAACTAACTCCTCTCCACTTTCCAACCCCCCTTCCTTCAATTCTTCGATATACATGCCTCCGATCGAATCCACAGGCGAATAAAGTCAAATCACCCCCTTTACGAAACACAAATGGCCTCAGCGGCTGTCACCGGAACGTAAATCCGATGGATCAAACTTCTGAAAACATCTATACGGGAAACAATAATCTCCAGATATTTAATCTTACAAATATATACAAAGAAAATCACAAAAAGTCCCCCTCCTTTTCTTAAAAACCGTAATTTCTGTCCCCTTTAATTTGTGTCCTAATATATACCAAACAACGCTGAATCCCTCAGCAGCTGAACAATAATCCCGAGAAATCAAAGCGAAAAAACCCAAGAAACTCTATTGTCCTCCCAAAGAAAGCGGGAACACGATAGAATCAACGATTTGACAATGGAATTTCGAAGAGAATTCGAACTAAAATGATTCCTCAGAGACAGATCGAACCGAAAAACGAACATATTCTAAACCGGATTCCACCGGATCTACCTCGATCAAACCGGAAAATCCACGCGGAGACGAATAAAGACGATTCCTCCTCCGCAAGCGATTCCTTATCTGTCCCCCTCTCGATCGAATCGAACCCTAGAAAGGCCTTAAAAAAACCCTAGTTTTCTTGCTCCTTCTCTCAACAAACCCTGGAAATCGAAAGAACAACCCCCACCAACAAAGCAACAAGGCAAGGCAACAACTAACATCTCTCTCTCTCTCTCTCTCTCATCAAACAAACAAATTAAATAATATTTAATTAACAATAACAGTAAAGACTAAAGAGGCAAGTAAAAGAAACGGAAAGAACGTGGGGTCGAAAAACACCATTAGTTTTAGTTTGATTTACGATATTGCCCTCTTAGACCGTACGTATATTTCAAACTTGCGGCGGAAATTCGGATTGCCTATAGGCTACAGCTCAAGGTTTTTAAAAACGACCCGAAAACAGAACCAGTCATGAGACCGTTTTCCGGTTCGGCGGTTCAACCGTCCGGGTCGAACGGTTCGACCCGTGACGTCATAAATCAATTATAAATAATAAAAAATAGCATAAAATTAAATAAAATACAGAAAATAAAACTATCTAAATACAAAAATAATAAAGTATAGAACACATAGAAAATACAGAAAAATTCTAAAAATGCAAAAAAAAAACACAAAAAAATACAGAAAAATCAAACTATCTAAATACAAAAATAATAAAGTACATAACACATAGAAAATACAAAAAAGCACAAATCAAAAATTCTAAAAAATACAGAAAAAAAGAAACATATATTAGGATGTGTTGAGTCATGCTCATACATGTTCAGAAAATACAAAAAAAAAATCCAAAAAACTATAGAAAAAAACGGAAATTGTAAAAAAAAAACATAGAAAATTACAAACAAATAAAAATAATACAGAAAATACTGAAAATTACAGAAAAAAAAAACATAAAAATGAAAGTAGAATGTTTTAGTGATATGTGTCCAGGCATATGTTCTCAGAAAATACAAAAAATCCAAAAAAAAAGGATTTTATCATTTGTTGACATCAGCATCATCATTCTTTGACATAGCAAATAAGCAAGGAATTGAAAAAATAATAATAAAGCAAAATTAATCAAGAAAATGTGAGTATGTGACTCTCCGTAACTAATTAAACAGAGAATTCAGAAAAAAATAATAATTAAGCAAGATTAATTAAACAAATAATTAAGCAAAAAATTCAAAGAAGTAAGCATTTTATACCTTCAAGTCCTTCACGGTTTCACTGCCAGTAATGGTGGTGTGACGGTGTTAAGCTCACAAAAATCACCTCCAGTGGGCTTGAACTTGGTCATTGATGATTGTTATTGCAACTATTACTGTCGCTTCCAAGCTCCAAGTGTCGCTGCAATTGTTACGGCGCAGCATGTTGGAAATCCCCACCCACTGCTGCAAAATCATCGCCTGCCGCTGCAAGTCATTGATAAATAGAGTAGACTAAGACTTTATAGGTTAATGTTGGACCTAGTGCAAAATCTACGCCGGACACCATAGATGAAGCTCACCATTGTCGTCGATCATCGTGAATCGCCGTTAGTCATTGTGTGTCACTGTTGGTCGCCGTAGGTCGTGGCTGTTGTAGGTCATCTACGCCAGCCAATGTAGATTTTGCAGTAGGTCTAGCAGTAACCTCTAAAGTCCTAGTCTACTCTATTTATCAATGACTTGCAACGGCGGGCGAGGGTTTCTAATATGTTGCGGCAGTAACAATTGCAACGGCACTTGGAGCTTGGAAGTGGCAGTAATAGTTGCAACAGCAATCACCGGTGACTAAGCCTAAGCCCACCGGTGGCAATTTTTGTGAGCTTAACATCGTCACACCACCATTACTAACAATGAAACAGTGAAGGACCTGAAGGTATAAAATGCTTACTTCTTTGAATTTTTTGTGAGTTTAATTGATTCTTTGATTTTTTTGCTTAATTCTTTGTTTAATTAATCTTTCTTAATTATATTTTTTGGCTGAATTCTTTGCTTAATTAGTTATAGAGAGTCACATGCTCACATTTGCTTTATTATTTTTTTTTTCAATTTCTTGCTTATTTGCTATGTCAAAGAATGATGATGATGATGATGTCAAAGAATGGTAAAATCCCTTTTTTTGGAATTTTTGTATTTTCTACAAACATTTGACTAAACACATATCATTAAAACATTTTACTTTCTTTTTTTATATATTTTTTTGTATTTGTTTTGGTGTTTTTTCTGTAGTTTTTTGGATTTTCTTTTTTGTATTTTCTGCACATGTATGAGTATGACTCAACACACCCTAATTTATGTTTATTTTTTTCTGTACTTTTTGAATTTTTTGTGTTTTTCCTGTATTTTTTATATGTGTTTTCTACTTTACTATTTTTGTATTTAGATAGTTTTATTTTCTACATTTTTTGTATTTTATTTAATGTTATGCTATTTTTATTATTTATAAATATTTTTTACTTTTAATTAATTTATGTTGTCACAAGTCGAAACGTTCAACTTGGACGGTTGAACTGCCAAACCAAAAAATGGTTCCCTGACCAGTTTTGTTTCCTGTTCATTTTTAAAAACCTTGAAAAATTTCTTGTTGGAATCAAACAGCTGAGTTGACAAGTTGAGATGATTCTAATTAGGACATTTGGGACTGGTGCGTTTCACAACCATTCCGTTTCTATTGATCTGTCATGCATGCCACATCAGCAAACAAATGGAATTGGTAAAAAATGGTATTTAGTAGCCCTGTTAAAAAAAAAAAAGGCTTTTGTAATAATTAGCTTTGGGATCCCAAATTTTTGTTTCTTGAATCGCCTAGGTGATCCTGAATCACCTTAGTGACATGGTATATTGAAATTTGAAAAAAGCTGATTAATTTTTGAGATCTTAAAAAATTGTCATTATAAATATATTATAATATTAAGTCAAATCACCTTAAACGTCCAATCAACCTAAATCCCATTTTTCTTTTTGTGTTTCTCAAAAAAAAAAAAAAAAGATGAAGCGAATCACTTGTGAAATAGAACGGTTGTGAAATGCACCGATCTCAAATGTCTCCTAAATTTGTAGGGTAAAATATAAAAACCTCCCCTACGTTTTTTTGACAATCATAAAACTCTCCCCTGTGTTTTCAGCATAACAAAAACCTCTCTTATAATTTTGAGAAAATGTATAATTACCTCCCTTATGTCAGTTTTCAATTAAGAGATGTATTGAAGTTCCAAAAATGCCCTTATTATCATTAGGCCATTAGTGTACATAATCCAAAATTCCAAGCTTGCCCTTCCATACTTCAGTCGGCATGACACCTTCACCATCGCCGACTCTATTGACATTGATTACACTTTTCAGACGTTTGAATCTAAAAATGTTGCTTTTCAGACACCACCTTTGTTTGGTGTTGCATCTGAAATACAATTTGAAAAGTTTTTTTTAGATCTTAAATTTTAAGACTTAGGCCCGTCACTTAACGCGTTCAGACATGGCCTAAAGTAAAAAATACCCCTCCCCATTCAACCTCTCTCTCTCTCTCTCTCCGCCTTGTCTTTCCACCACTGTAGCATTGCAACGGCGGTTCTCTCTTGCTCTCTCTCTTCCCTGTCTTCCCACCACCGCTGCCACAAGTTGTAGCGGCGGTTCTCTCACTCACTCACTCACTCTCTCTCTCTCTCTCTCTCTCTCTCCCCTGTCTTTCCGCCACCGCCACTACAACTTGTAGTAGCGACAGTTCAATGAGTAAAGTAATAATAATAATAATAATAATATTTTAATATTAATTATTTTTACTAAATATTAATTATTTTAATATTTTTATAGTCATTAATTATATTTTTAATTTTAATCGTTTCATTTATTAATTATTAATTAATTATTTTTTATTTGCATTGTTTCAATGTTATTTTGTGGTTGAAAATTATTTTTTATGAGATAATGCAAATTGAACTCAACATTTCCAAATAGTATGTTCTAGGGGTAAAATAGTAAAATCAATAAATTTCAGAGGTAAAGGGTTGATCTAACACAAACAAACTTATGGATTCAGAGCCTCTAAAAAGTAAAAAAGTACCTAAGTTTTTTTTCAGATTTTAGACATCTTTTTAGCTTTTCAGATCTGAAATTTCAAATTTATCAAATGCTACCGAACTAACTTTGAATCTGAAAAGTGAAAACACGTCTCTACTGCAAATGGACTTAACATATCATTATCTGCTTTGCAAATTTGAGATCTCATTGAAATTGGAGCAAAGGCATTAGCATTTCATTTCTCTCTAAAAACACTATATATAAATCTAGACCCACAAGCAGCTCGGTGATGACAGCCTTTTGACTGATTCGCAAAATAGAGTACATGTATAAGAACATTTGTCTTTGGCATCAAATTCTATTATTCGAAGCTATGCTCACTCTACCATTCTATCATACATGTTATGTGCTAACGGTGGTAATCAACCCAGAATCCTTTCCAATGCATCTCTCCACTCTCCAGAGAGCATTGGGTCATTTCCCCAACACCCAACTCCTGCAGTCATCCTATGCAGACATCTTTAGCATCAACACCAACTGATTAAGGTGATCTGATCATCTTGGGTTCTGGTGCATAGTGGCCAACACAGAGAGGTTGCATGATAAAGAAGAATTGTGACCAATTGTATTGATCCTTCATTTCTTTCACTTGGCCTCCTCCTTCCAAAACAGAACCCACCATAACCCAGTAATGAGGGTCGTGGCATGAGTTGATGAATTCCTATCAATTGAAATATCGAAGACCTGGAACCCCTTAATTACACTCCCTTTTGAGCGTGGATACAGAATTGTTACAAGCCTCATGTTCACCATCTCAGAGCAGGCGAGACTGAGCAAGAAAGCATCGTTGTTGGAGAGACTATTTTGTAAAGTCCCTCAAGAGCAATTGATTTGTGTCTAAAGCAAATGGGTTTTTTGCCTGAAAGGGATTTTCAAAGCTAGATCGTAGACGAGCTTGGACATTAGCCAAATTATCTCAAGTGCTAAGAAGCCAATATTGGATATATTACTATTTTTGTCTGTTGTTGTAGTTGTCCAAACCATGTCTGAGAGCCATGAATATGAAGGCTGAAGAAGACGATATAATGAGGAAGTGGTATTATTGTTGTTGTTAGAAAGAATGAAAGGTATGGAGAAGACAAGAAGAAGAAAATTGATGTAGAGTGATCTGGTTACTTCCTATTGGAAGATAGTTCAGACGACGG